CGTCTTGAAAAAAGTCTGTTTGTAGACTGAAACATCAACATTTTGTATAAAGCTGAATAAAAGCTGAGAATATCTTTTACAAATCCTCAAGTGTGCTACTTAGAATGTTAAACAAAAATCTGCACACCAGTCAAGCCATAAGACTTGCTTTTCCCACAGAAATCCCAAATCTGCAGTGATGTTACAACCGCAAAGGATTCCAGTGGGCTTCACTTGTTTTTGCATCTTTTCCTAATTTGTGTTCTAAGCAGTTGTATTAAACTAATTTGCATATGCCCACCCAGAATACTTTGCGGTTGTAACATCACTGCAGATTTGGGATTTGTGTCTTATGACTTGACTGGTGTGCAGATTTTTGTGTAACATTGTATTAACTATCCACAGACTTCAGGTAGAAGGGGTTTTCAATCACAATTTTTCCCCACCATAACCCTTTTGGATTTTGCTTCCCAAGCACTACCAAGCCTCAGTAAGCAAACCAGTAACCAACCTCATGCTGATGAGTTGCATTAACAACGAAACAGCTGTCCATGAGTGGTTTACTGGTTTTGCATCTTTTCCTAAATTGTGTTCCAATCAGTTGTATACTGCAAACACAGATTAAAAGGAATCCAGGTTTAAAATGGAATGAGGCAAAAATGTGATTCTTTGTTAAACTAATTTGCATATGCCCACCCAGAATCCTTTGCGGTAGTAACATCACTGCAGATTTGGGATTTCCGTGGGAAAAGGAAGTCTTATGGCTTGACTGGTGTGCAGATTTTTGTTTAACATTGTATTAACTATATAGATATAATTTTTTTAAACATTTTTTTTTTTTCACAGTAAGACAGCGATGGGCTTTTAAAATCCATGCATTTTATTCTCTGCAGGCATAATTTAAATGGAAACTGTATTTTCAGCCTCTGCGCTCTAATCTATGGATATTTTTGGATGCTTTCTGCTGGTTTTTTTTCTCCAAGTTTAGAATATTAGGAAAGGATACCTTGACTGCTCAATAAAGAACAAAATGATTTTCTGGGTAAACTTTAACCCTTTGCTGATTGCAGCCATCTTGGTACCTGGATATTTTGCCAATTTGATGGTTTTAAGTTTCCAGTGAGAGGATGAATAAAAGCGTTGATAGACGTCAACGCTGCCTTGTCCCACTGGCTATGACAAGACACCATTGACCCTCACTCATGAGTTTATAATGGTGTGGAGCAAGCCTAATACTTTACTCATTTGTGGACCAAAACCCGAATGCCTTAATGCAGCCATCGTGTGGTACCAGTCCACATGATTACACGCTTTTACGGCGTCTGTATAGAAGACCGTTGTCTACCAGCCCTCTGGTGGAGTGAATCACATTGAATGCTCATGTCATGTTGTCCTTTACCTATCTTCCTGTCACAGCGGCCACCTGATGTGGATTAGGACCTGGACCACATCTCTGTGTTGTGCAAGTATCTTCAAAAAACATTTTAAGGTGAATTTATTAGTGAAATATATAATATAGTGACCTGTATTATGTACATGAATTGTTACCTATGCTTGCTATGATGGCTATGTGTGCCAATTGTTCTTAAGAAATCTCCTCCGTCCAGAATCAAATTCAGCCTTACTAGCAAATGTAGGAGAATGGATGTGTTCAAACGGTTTCTAATATCTTAAAGGCAAACCATCCTAGCCAGGGAATGTATGTAGGTGAGACTGTTTTAGGGCATTTAAGACTCGACCGTTTCAGTGTAACAGCCCTGGGAACATACTTCAAGATATAATAATCAATATATCCCTTTTTCTGGTTGTCAGTGGAAAGTTATAATTAATGTATGTTGAGACTGCTTGTTGGTCCAGGGAGAAATCTGATTGCTGTTTTAAAGTTAAAAAGAATGTATTTTTGGATTATTTTTTTTTTTTAAAACGGAGACCCTTGGAACAAGGGGATCCCTGAAGTAGCTACCGAACAAAGCAGTATAGTAGCCAAATAATAAAGAGAGAAGGGAGAAGGGGGGATATTAATGAGTGGATAAAGAGGTAAGGGGAATAAGTAGAAAGAACCCCATAAGTACTCTAATATTGTCCACTACTAATTATACAGCGAAAAGAGGTCCCTAGTGGAGTAGGAGACTAGCCCTATACACTAGTACAAATATCCACATCTAGGGCTCCACAGAATGTATAATATGTACAATGCCCCACTGGTATAAAGGCAGGTCAAAAAGACCTATGCAGGAAAAAAATAGGAAAAGGGGGAAAGAACCAGGGCAGTTCCTATATGGACAAGCCCTAGGTCCAGAGGAGCCCCTCAAAAGCAAGAAAATCCCTGCCTAGAGAAGTCCCCTAAGAAGTCAAAATCATAAAAAGGCTAACTATACTGACTAACTAAATCAAAACATACTGACTACCTAAGTGCTACCTAGTGTAAAAAAAAGAAAAGAAAAACATATATAAATTAAAGTAAGCGCTCGACGCACGTTTCAGCATGCATCAGGAGCTATTGTAAATGTTCGTCCTACTGAAGCCGGTTAAATACCTTCAACAATCGGAGATAAATCCCTCCAGGTGGTCCGACGTGTGGAGGGGGGAGTGGATGTCTGACGTAAAAAAACTTTTGTTTAATCCCTGTGGTTGTTTAATCCCAGTGTTTTCAATTTATATATCCAGTAGGACTCTCTTTGTTTGAGCCTACGGTCCCAATCCCCTTTACGTTGTGTTTGGGGTATGAATTCAATGCCCATAAAGCGTATCCTACTGGATAGATGGAGTTTAGGGGCGGAGCGTCCGTCTGTGTATAATCCTCCCCCTTTCCCCACCCCTTTATGATTGACTCAGGTATTACCCAATGACATTCCGATCTAAGTGATGACGTCGTCGAGGAGGAGTGGTGACTACGTCAGACATCCACACGTCGGACCACCTGGAGGGATTTACCTCCGATTGTTGAAGGTATTTTACCGGCTTCAGTAGGACGAACATTTACAATATCTCCCGATGACGGCGTGTATGTACGCTGAAACGCGCGTCGAGCGCTTACTTTTATTTGTTTTTCTTTTTTTTTACACTAGGTAGCACTTAGGTAGTCATTATGTTTTGATTTAGTTAGTCAGTATAGTTAGCCTTTTTATGATTTTGACTTCTTAAGGGACTTCTCTAGGCAGGGATTTTCTTGGTTTTGAGGGGCTCCTCTGGACCTAGGGCTTGTCATATAGGAACTGCCCTGGTTCTTTCCCCCTTTTCCTATTTTTTCCTGTATAGGTCTTTTTTACCTGCCCTTATACCAGTGGGGCATTGTACATATTATACATTCTGTGGAGCCCTAGATGTGGATATTTGTACTAGTGTATAGGGCTAGTCTCCTACTCCACTAGGGACCTCTTTTCGCTGTTTAATTAGTAGTGGACAATATTAGAGTACTTATGGGGTTCTTTCTACTTATTCACCTTACCTCTTTATCCACTCATTAATATCCCCCCTTCTCTCTTTATTATTTGGCTACTATACTGCTTTGTTCCTGTGTTCAGTAGCTACTTCAGGGATCCCTTTGTTCCAAGGGTCTCTGTTTTTTATATTTTTCTTGGGTTACCCCATATAGTGTAGCTCTGAGGTAGGCTCTTTATAAAGCAGTTTTCATCCTCTCACATATTTTTGTGAGTATGCTGATCTGTCTTTGTATAATTCTATTCACAATTTTTATTATTTTTTTTGTTGTGGCAAAATTAGAAATTGCTTCAAATTGGGTTTTGTTACCTGCTATAGA